AAGCCTCTCTTTTATTGAAATGTGTTTACATCGAGCCTACATTGGCCTCTGAGACTTGTCCATAATTCTATAGATAATCCTATAATAAAGAAATTGCCTACAGGGAAATTTGTAAAAATGTCTGTGATCATGTCATATTTGTTTGCTTAGCACTGCAGCTGAAATAAATGCCTCACCCAAGTAAAGCAGGGTGTCTCTTTAGAAAGGTCATTTGTCCCTATAAAGGCCGTTTATGATCTATAACTTGATCTCCATTTCATCAGGTACAAATAGAATTCTATTCAGTTCAATTCAATTCATTTTTTCTTGGTTGACTATATATCTTTAAAAAAGAAAGTCACTGTTTAATTTATTAAAATCCCTGATGATTTTTTGTTGTCTGAGAAACCTACACGGTACCATTTAAAGGCATCCTTTATCAATGTTAAATCTGAGATGCACGGCCCTACGTGTTATCAGTGTCTGTGATATGGTGTAATATTGAAGCCATAAAAAAATGCGCTTCAAAATGATCAAGAAGTGCCTCAAAAAAGTAAAAATCTTTGAGTGACTGGTTTTACCATACTCGTTTTCCCCAATAGACTGTAGTGTTATGAAAACCGTTTGGCAAACGGCTCTCAAAATTTGTAATTCCAAACATAATTATCTTGATAATCAGACGATCGGCCTGTAAAAGTCATTGGGTTCCTGACTAACCTAAAGGGTTATAATTATCATTGCAGCATGAGCTAAATCCAGGATTTTGTTTCAGAATCTGAGACAAAGTTACCGGATCCCTTTAAGTTTTGAAAAATGATTTATCGGCCCCAACCATGATAAAATACAATGTCATAGATTGGTGGAAATACCTTCATGAAGTTCCCTTCACAAATCACTTTCATTATGGTGATGTCTATAATTTCAGAGTTGCTTGTAATGCAGTATACAGAATCCTTATCATTTTCATTGAAAATGAACATTCCTTATTCCCCTAACTAAATATGGATTACCTTTCATAAACATTCAAGGATATTTTGTTACAATAGAATTCATAAACAACTACTTTCAACTTCCAAGTACTGATAAAAATGCCAAAACTACCTTTGATTTATATCAGTGATTTGAATCAATGAAATGGATAACCCTCATATCATGATGTTCGTAAGCAAAATAGTATATGTCATGAACTTATATTACATCAGTCTATGGAGACTCAACTAATTACACATTATGAAACGATGGATTGTTTAACTGTATACTATCGGTATCGGTCTTCTGCATTCTCCCCCTTTTCTTTCTTTTCAAATACGATTAATTGTACTATTGATTATTTATATTTATTTATTTGCGAATTAATACTTGTATTACTTATCATTATATTGCTAAAATGTATTCATTGTTATGTTTGTTATTGTTTATGGAAAAATTCAGAAATAAAACTTGAAACTGAAACTGAAACTTGGGGCGTTCATTCATTGAACCTTATATTGCAGAAACGAAAATAATCAAACTGTAGGTAAAAAGTTGATGAAGCCTGTTACAAATAACACTCTTTGCATGACCAAGTGGAGATACATGCTTCTTCTTCTCGCTCCGAGTGATCCAAGGAGACACAGGAAGACATACGAGAATGGAGAGACAAGATAAATTTACTTTATTTTTTAAAGAGGAAGCACGAGCGAAGTAACCTTGTTTGTCCAAATCGATTCTTCTCGTTTTAACCCGCATTTTTGTTCTGCAACGCGCAGCCATGATTTATGAGCTCATTGTTTGATCGTGTTCAGGTAGTGACTGTTAAAGGGCAATCCAACCCTTGTAGTAAGGTCACTTGTATGAAGGCAGAAAAATTAGAGAAACAGAATGGCAAAAGTTTAAAATAAATCAGACCAAAGCTATGAATGTTTGAAATATGAGATCACTTAGTCTAAGCGTATCTGAAATTAATATTTTGGTCAGGGGATTGTGACTTGGTCACGGATTGCGATGGTTGGCAATAAAAAACAATGCTGATTATGCTAAAACTAGTGATTAAAAATAATTGTTAGATTTTTCAGATTTAAATGAATTAAAAAGAAGAAAAAATCACTACGCATGGTGACGTAACCATATCTGGTGACGTAACCATATCTCTGGGGCCTGCATGGGGCGTCTTTTCAACATTAAAGGCAAGCTGAACTGCTATCAATTTCTTTTAGAAGTCAATCAAAAATATTTATAATTTCAGTATACAATGTTATATCATACAATTAGTTGGAGAGAAATAGGTATCAAATTGGCAGCACATAGTCAAAAGAGTAAATTCATTTAATGATATAAATGCTTATTATTTTGATTCATTATAAGCTTCGTTTCCATACAGTTTCATGTACAAATAATACTTCCTCCAATGTCTGCAAAGGGTTAAAAAAAAATACTGCATTTGCCATTTTGAGGAGTATACAGAGCCTAGCCATTCAGGCAAATTAAATTTCTGTTCCGGAATGAGTAAGACGTACCTTACAAGAAAGAATGAATGGTCTTTAATCCATTTGCAATCGATGCAATACCCTGACTAACAACACATATGGGGTAACATTGCCCAAGACATCTTTGCTTATACTTGTTTTCGGTTCTCAATTGCCTCGTGTTCTAGTTCTATGTTAGGATAAATTCTACATTGCGCTGATGCATCAGAAAATCAATCACCTGATCCATCACCCTTTGGGGAGAACTCATGAGAATATCTAACTTGAAATGACAAAGAAACACACCAGGGTGATTACATGCTACTATTATGTCGAAAAGTAAAGACAGTTAATCTCTGGTTGCAAGTCACAACCTTAGGCAGATATATCATGTATAATGTCAGTCATATGTGAGACCAATTTAATAACATGAAGGATTATCTTTTGCTCGAAGGATTTACAGAAAGAAGATCTATAAGAGTTTAAATATAATGTACAATGCATGCTGTCTTCTTTGCTAATTTAACCCTTTTGCTGTCTCAGATGCTTTAAACAGATTTACAGAGAAGATGCCTTTTTCCCTTAAAACGATACACTTTGCATGTTTTCTAAACAAAAACCGCTATTTTCAAAGAAAACACATTAAAACCAAGAAGAATAATCTGATACAATCAACAGAAATGCAAAACCATGATATCAGAAACGTAAACAAAAATGTGAAGTACCACAGCTCTTTTTCTGTTCACATTTGGTATGCATACACCACTAATGCCACAAGTACCGGTATCTAAATATTAAGGAGAAAACCACACAAGAACTAAGCACATTTTAAAGTCTGATTCTCTATCTCTCAATATCAAAAGTTGTTTTTCTCAAACGCCCACTCAACATTCCCTTCAAATTCATCGCAAATATTGCTGTCTTTATTGATGGACAAATGCGAATCTAGGCTAAAGGGGAGCTAGATATGTTTGTGTTCTATGTGCATGTTAAAAGTCAAGCATCTATGAATTGCAGATTTATACTTCTACAAATTGCTCATTTGACAATACATAAACAAAAGAAGCAAAGTTGGAGAATAGGGCCAGTCCCCCTCCCCCTTTGGCCATGGAATTATTTATAGGGAGCATTTTTCATATGACATAACTTTTCTGTCAACATAAGGATAACAGTCTTTTCATTTTCAAACAAAATAATTTATACATTTCTTCTCAAATCGGAAAAAAAAAATGGTTTGAGATAAACTGAATGTTGAAAGCTGTTATAAAATAAGCATGTATCAGACAGAAAAAAATGAAAGATGAGGAAAATATTTATGCTTCAAATGTGCAGTATCTTTAGTAGAGTTTGATGATGTGCATAAACTAGTGCTGTAGCCGAACCACCGAACCGAACGGAAGTTCGCCGAACATGGCACTTCCGAACCGAACCGAACCGAACGCAAAGGCCTGGTTCGGATGTTCGGCAGAAAAATGAAAACGTTTTTGCAAGGTAATTAACTTGTCATTTTGTACCTAATTTTCATGTCATGATTGCTCATCTTATATTTACTTTTTTCCCATTTTCCGCCTTTGTGATTTATGTCTATCCAGTGGTGGGCGCGACTACACTGGCGCCATTTAAATCCCAAATCCTGACCACGCTACGTCGCGATCGCAAGCCAAAAACAAGAATACATGTGCGTGATCGAAACAAGTTCAGCTCAAACCCATTCAACAACAAATTTTTTTTTTTTAATTGTAACAATATTGGACAAATTTTACAATATAAATAATGAAATAAATATATATTATAGTAAATAGGGATTTCATATTTTTCCTATTGAAAATATAAACTTATAAAAACAGTTATTGATGAGCCTGAGTCTCTATTCAAGATGGCAGCTTTTATAACTCTAACATTAGACAACAACCGTCTAGGAAAATCTTTTAAAAATATCATTTATAGACAAATTGAAAACATGATTCTTTTAAAATTGAAAATAAAACACGATTCAAGACGGAAATACGAATGTAAGTAGTACTTTTCTTCACAAATAATTACGTTTAGAGCAGTTTTTTAATGTGAAATTCGTGTTGGTCGGAGGCAGTGTGCAGAAGTGCTCCGTGCTGGTCGGGCCCGGTAGGCCGGCCGGCCCGCCCAGTGCCGACCGCCGTGGCTATAACGCTGCTTGCTATTATATTACCGAACCCCGAACCGAACCAAGTTCGGGTGAAAAATTGCCGAACTCTGCCGAACCGAACCAAACACGAACATAGCGTCTCACTTACAGCACTAGCATAAACTAGGAAATAAATGTGATATCTCTCTGCCCACTTATTGTATGCAAAACTTGAGGAAGACACAAAGACAAATATATAAGAAGAAGAAATTAAAAAACATTAGAGTCTGTGAAAAACATTCCTGAAAAAAAGAACCATTCCGTTACCTGTTGAATATGATTTGGTTTTTTTGTACAACATACACTTTTGATTTACTCCAGTCCAAGTTTTCTAGGGCTTAGTATACGATAAGAAGAAAACATGACAGAATAAAAAAAACGGCTTATAGAGGAAAGTAATAATGAGAAGTGCCTACCTTCTATAGGCTCAGGTGTGTTGACAATGGTCGCTACGACATCACCTACAAGCAACATCAAACAGATGGCTACGACTCGAAGAACAAACCAAGATCTCTTCCATCTTTTCCACCTCTTTCTTCCCGATCCTACCATCATCATCATCTCCATCATTTCCATCGCCTCCATGTTTGCCGTTGGTCAATCGTATTATCAGCAAACTCTGATCTCTAAAGAAATGGCCGGACTGGAGATTGTGGTAATTCCATGCTGAATTTTGGCGCGGTGGTCAGTCCAGTGCACACAACTCAGCAGCCAGCGTTGACAGAGCGTTTCATCGCTTGCATCTGAACGAGAGAGGAGAATGGAACGCGTTGCTGAACGTCTCGTGGAGATTCTCAGACCAGCGAGGGATGGAGAGAAAACAGGCTTTGTTTGCAGAGTTTCTTGTTTTACTTTCACCCCCGTTCTCTCATTCTCACGTTGAGGTGTGGAATGATTCAATGTTGTTTGGTTTCGCGCTGTCTCAATCTGTCATCAAATCTGGCACATCCAACGACACGACATTTAGAGAATGCTGGATATTTCCTCCTCAAGCTTCCCATAAACATGCAGTGAAAGTCAGAAGCTATAGTGTATGCACCACGACTCAGCAGCTGATCACAGATCGTGTATCTAGATGACCAACACCATGTTCCTGTGACATCACATGAATGTTTCAATCTTTTCTCTGTATCCTACTGCTACATCCAATAAATTAACCCACACTTACAGGGGTCTATGATTTCTAAATGGCAGCAGGCACACGTCTCGCTTCCCCACCATCACCTGCGGAGCAGGAATAGTGGAGGCACAATCTGCGAGGGAGGGAAGAGCCGATGACACGAGACACCTGCTGCTGATGAGGATTTTATCTTGTTTCTGCGGCGTGAAGAGTCAGGTTACAGCACGCCACCACTCGCTGCCAAGCAGAGGTGTTATACGCTCCTCTCTCTCCTCATCGTCCGTCGTAGTATGATCACCGAGCGGCCTGGAATGCCATCAGTTTACGAGATTGAGATGTAGGTTGTAATCTCTGCCATGGGTGGGAAACACAAGCTCTTTGTACTTTCTTCCCTCTGGATGGGCTCGGGATGATGCAGAGATGAGTTTTATATCTGAGGGGGAGAATAAACAGTGGAAAGCCAGTCATTAGAGAGAGTGTGGAAGCAATGCGGCTTGGAGTGACACATTGTCAAAAAGTTGCATGGAAAATCAAGAAGGAATAGTTTACTGACTGGAAGGTGGGAGGATTAATGTTTCAATGAAGATAGCAGATTCCAGACAAGCCTTGAAGTGTACGGTTGTCAGAGGGTAAAACAGGAGGCAGGGAACCTTGATAGATGGCACACAAAAAGATTCCCTGAGAGAAGGGTTGTGTATGCAAGAAGCTGGTAAAAACAAAGAAGTGTTTATAGGTGAAAAGAGGAGAAAAGGAGGAGAGAGATGAGAGAAAGTGAGAGGGAGAAAGCAAGCAAGAGAAATAAGGAGACAAAGAGAGAGGAGAGAATATACAAGGGGAGAGAGAAAATAGAGAGAAAAAGAAAAAGATTTACAATTCCACACCCGGTGAGAATCTGGCACAAGAAGCTGATACCAAAAGTCTACCAATTTTGTCACAGCTCTGGATTTGTGTTTGTGAATTTCACTAGCTCACTATGACTATCCTCTACAAGTCAGTATGACTACAGATCTCACAAAATCAAACCTAGAGATCAAGAAGAGCTAAAGGCTGTTTCACTAATGAATGAAGAATTAGAGACAGAAACAGAGAAAGAACATTACGCAAGAAAATAATTGTAATCCATGACAGACAAAATAGTATAGGGGGGGGGGATAGAGGAGGGATACTTGTAAAATATCACAAAATGGGGGAAGCAAGGGAAATATTAGGTTAAATTAAATAGAAGGGAAAAAACGACATGGAGTGGGGGGAGGGTGTGGGAATTGGTTAACATCTATCTTAACTCCTTCCTTTCTCTCTCTCTCTTTCCTTCCTTGTTGTTTTCCCTTTATTTTTTGCACTTTGATTGGGGAAGGCATATATGCCCCACCATGTCCCACTGGAGCTACATAACGGACTCCACCTTGAAGTATTGTACACTTGAAATGAGCTAAGAATTGTAAAATTATAAAAACAAGTCTGAAAATTGAAAACAACCCCAAGAATTACAGATAATTCTTACATCAAGCAAAATTGTAGGTTTTCATGGAATGGAACAACAGGATATGACGTCAAGAATTCCTACAAGCAATGCATACTTGACACACTTGATTCTGTTGAGAGCCAGAAGGGCATTAGCTCTGTGTTAAACTGTATGACTTAACATCTATCTGGCTCTCCATAGATGATATATGATTTGTTCAAACAAAATGAAAATGAATGAATGGTGCTGACATCTATCCAAAGGATTATATGTGTTTATCTATTTCCATAAATTTAAAAGAGAAAATCAGTTTCCCTTTTCCATTTATCCTGTAAGTGCCTTTCAAAATGCATGAAGGCAAAAACAGTTGTAATTCTACAAAACAACAGTACAATTTCAGTTTCGATATCTCTCTTGCACTTGCTTTTCTTGGTTTCCTTGCTGTCCATGATCGTGTGGCTTAATTTTGCCTAATAAACCAGGGAAGTAATATTATGACTTTAAAATGAAGGGTAAAAGCTAATATATATCAAGTTACTGCTTTCCTGACACCACATTATATACACACTGTAAAAAGACAATTTTATTTCAGAATTTCGCCAAGACAAAAATATTGGACTTTATATCTTAAAGGTAAAGACAAGTATTGGAAACTTGCTTGTAACTTTACGAAGACTAGGCCAAATTTCTTATCATTTTGATGATTCCAGAACCTTGCAGTACACACCAATACTTATATGCTAGATGTTCAACCTTTTCTGATCGATTCCACAACGTTTCTTTCACAATGCAATCGCATGACCAGAACTGGTCTTTATCTTTAAGGGTTCTGCGTCACAAGCTCCAGACTCCAGAGTCAATATCATAACCTAACCATAGCCTCATATAATCCTTCTTGTATAAATAGATATCTGAGCAATAATTCTTTATGTTCTGTCCGTGACTTCTAATAAATTTCAGTGTACTTCTCTGAAAATAATATCAAACTAAGGCTACTAAGCCAATCACAAAGATCTGACCCCGCTCTTGGCTCCTCACAAAGCATTTCCTATACGCTCATATAGGCCTGGCATCATCAGACCGAAGTTGCAAAATAACCCGCTATTTTAACTAGCCCGATCTCAAATTAGCCCGCAGTTGCAATTAGTGGGCTATAATTTGGTAGAGAAAATATCTGAGAAATCTTGGTCTTTTTTCCAAAATAGCGGGCTATTTGTGAAATAGCAGGCTAATTATAGCGCCCGGATGAGCTAGTTTGTGATGAGCGTATCGGTCTGGAGAAGACGCAATTTGTGTCTGAAAAAAGTGGGTTATTTTGTAACTTCGGTCTGATGAAGACAGGCATATAGAGTCATAACAAAAATTGTAGACATACAGCTCTCCATACAGGCTTCCATACATGGGTCAGTTGTAAGTTGGAGTTATGCCCCAGGCAGGATTTATAAATAATGGTCCAATACTTGTTTCTTTCAAATTCCGCTTGAGAAGAGAAAATAGACTTCACTGTATTAAAATCCATATGATCTCACCCTTTATCAACTAAAATAAAAGGAATCTGGTGAATATATATATATATATATATATATATATATATTTATAAAGAAAGGGGGGGGGGGGTTCATACTGAAATTGGAAATGGGCTTTAAACTTTAAAAGGAAAGCAAGGATACATTAAGAGACACCCCAGACATCATCAGTCTCCAGTCTTACGAGACGATCACATCTTTAATCACTCGGTAATGGGGACACAAAGAATACAATTTATCCAAATGATAGCTCCCAGGCAACATCAACATGAAGAGAGGAGGAGCAACACAGCAGAGCAGGAGAGAGAACATTGATGAGTTTCTCTCTTCCATTGTAATTAGGAGGGATGTAAGAAAAATAGAACTGCATCCATCAAAAGCTTTAGCCCCCTGTTGGCGGGATGCCAGCTTGATATGGGTTTTAATGCACATGTTAGAGAGTGTGAGAAGTACAAGGATGTTGTTTAAAGAGAAGGTTGAGTTCTGGGAAGAGGTGAAAAATAATTTGTGAGCATTACTCATTCTTATTATGCAAGTGTGGAAGAAAATCAGTTAAGACATGTTCCCTGAAAAGCATGGCTCTTCAAATGCCTTCATATTCTAAATATGCATGTAACATCGTAAAAATCGGGGGGGGGGGGGGGGGCGGCTTTTTACGCCACGTGTTCGTGTAGTCCCATATACATCTTTCTGTGCAAGTGTTTGTAACTTTACCAAGACTTGGCCACATTTCTTATCATTTTGATGATTCCAGAACCTTGCGATACACACAAATTCTAATATGCTAGATGATCAACCTTTTCTGGTCGGTTCCACACCCTTTCTTTCACAATGCAATCGCATGACCAGAACTCAACTTCATTTTTAACTCGATATGATTAAAAGAAAAATAGAACTATGACTGCATGTGAGAGACTAAAGCATGATATTTCATTCTTGATGATTAGAGGTTTAAAAATCACATGTTCCAGTGAGAGCTGATTGACAGCAAATTGTTTACACTTATCAAATTCTTAACTCCAACCCTAGACCAAACACTACACTGAACCATTAACCTAACTCTACACCTAAAATAGAGTCTAAATCAAATAATTTTTCTTGATGAAATAAAGCCAGAAGCAAATGTTGCTGCAGCATTTCAAATAATACATCAATCATTTCTCAGCTCTGCATAAAGGAGCCTTAATAGAGTAATGAGTTGTAAATTGAAGCCATATGTACAGAAATACACCCCCCCCCCCCACAGAAACACAACATGTATAATGTAACAATATGTTTAGAATCATATCAGACCTCAGTGCAAGATTTTTATGTCCCATTGATCTCCAAGAAAATGAGTCTAACACGATGACAGAAGAAAATAGAACACCCTTCCATTTAGATGGTAGTATGTGGGTGCATACAAACAAATGTACAATAGATGAACTGACCTTGTCTCAATTGAGAGCTTGAAAGAACAAGATAAGACCCCAAAGCTTATACACTTCATTTCAGAATCTAAGGTAGATAGTAACCTACTCTATCAAGTCAGACAGATAATTCAACATCTGTGTGCAAAATAATGCAATCAATTTTCTGGTGTGATTTTCTAATTTATTCATCAATAATTGATCAATATCGTTTTGCTTTATGCTTTCAATACTATTTTCACATGCAGTCATAGTTCAATTTTTCTTTTAATCATACCAAGTTAAACAACATCCTTGTACTCCTACCACTTTGGAGTCGCTTCTAAATCATTTAAATTGATTATCAGGTAAGGTAAAAAATGTATGAAAGTGCTGCTCTTGAGTTTTAAAGAATGGCAATCTTTACTCAGAGTTTTACTTCAATACTATGATACAAAGATGTGGTCATTCCAGAGAGGTGGTCTTTCTTTACAGGTCACCAACACAGCATGCTTAAAAGGTTTACTGATAATGTAGCCCCAACAATAAAGCTTGCTTGACTCGATACATAACAGGTGCTTTACATATAATGGATGCCCTATTTCACACCAAAAAGAAGTGGTCTTTATAGACAGGTGGTCACTAAAGCAGGCTTGACCATCTCTTCTTTTTTGCACTCCATCAGTACAAACTTAGGAGTGTAGGTGTATCATAAGTGTCTCTGCTAAGTATGGAGGCAAATATTAAGTTAACACTTTGTCTCTTGCAGGCAGACAATAAAACCACAAGTGCAGACAAATTGCCCATATTATGAAGATTAATGGATTGAAAAAAGTCCTTAACTCATCTGAGGACTAACATGCCTCCTGTTTGTAACCCTAAATGATTGATTGATTTGATTGATTTTTTATTCGACAAGCTTCTAATATACAACAATATACAATAATAACAGATCAAAAATAAGTCAGCTTGAACAGGATAACCCACGAAAGCTCGAGAGCTTATTTCCAGTGGGGTCCCTTACAGACATGTATACAATTAATAAATTAAAA